TTTGGAAGGTATAAAGCAGAAGTGTCCAACCTTTTTTTTCTCTGCCACACACTAGAAGAATAAGAGTTGTCTTGGGCCACATAGTAAAATGCACAAACAGGCTCGGCACCTGTGGCTCAAGTGGCTAAGGCGCCAGCCACATACACCTAAGGTGGTGGGTTCAAATCAGCCTGGGCCCGCCAAACAATGACGGCTGCAAGCAAAAAATAGCCAGGCATTGTGGCAGGCGCCTGTGGTTCCAGCTACTTGGGAGGCTGAGCTTCAGCCCAGGAGTTGGAGGTTGCTGTGAGCTGTAATGCCACAGCACTCTATCCAGGGGGACAGCTTGAGGCTCTGTCTCAAAAAAATAAAAATAAAAATAAAATGCATACACAGTATGGAAAGCTGATTGGCAAAAAAAAAAGGTCTAGACCTGGCTCTGTGGTGCAGGCCTGTAATCCTAACAATCTGGGAAGCCAAGGCAGGTGGATAGCTTGAGCTCATGAGTTTGAGAACAGCGTGAGCAAAAGTGAGACCCCCATTTCTACTAAAAATAGAAAAACTGATACAAGAGGATCTCTTGAGCCTAGAAGTTGGAGGTTGCTGTGAACTATGATGCCACAGAACTCTAGACAAGGTGACAGCTTGAGACTCTGTCCCAAAAATAAAATAAAATAAAATAAAAAAAGGTCTAGGGCAGCACCTGTGGCTCAAAGGAGTAGGGCGTCAGCCCCATACGCTGGAGGTGGCAGGTTCGAACCCAATCCTGGCCAAAAACTACCAGAAAAAAAAAAGGTCTGTGCACACTTTTTGTTATATCCAACACCACAAATAAGCAAAATCAGCATGGTTTGATGCCCCAGGTTTAAAGGCTTTGTCTTTAAGGGAACATCTCTGAGCCAATTCCAAGGATGAACTATGTTCAAAAGGCTTTCCTCCTTCCACAGCACACACTCAACTGCCTGCAGAGAGACCTCTCAGCCACAGAGCATTCTCCCCTGTATGGCCCAAGCCCCCAGGGGCCCTGAGGAAGACACAAAACTACGCAAGGACCACAGGGGCACTCCTATAGTGACAGCCGCTCTATTGAGTGTCACGGTGCTCACAGCCACCAACCAGTGAACAAGCAACAACTGGTGCCCACAAGCAGTTCTCAGCCTTTCTTGGGTCCTTTGAGAAGCTGATAAAAGCTAAGAACTTTCTCCCACCAAAACTATTCCTGAACTTAGACACACACCTGCCCCTAATGAATTCCAATGCTACCATGGAGCCTCAAGCCACCCCTCTTGTCAGTGTCCCCAACAATTTCCAAAACCCATGTTGTCTACACAGAGCCATCCTTTCCCCAGACCAGTGCCCAAGTGTTCCTAGAGCCCCTGGCAAACAAGCAAGGCCTGTCTCCAAACCTGGTGGTACTAAACCCTTAGACTTGGGGGACAACTGAGGGTGACCCACAGCTGCTCCTGGAGGCACCACCACCAAGAACAGAGGCACCCCTGCTGCCTAGCCCTCAGGCCCACTGTATACTAGCCAGGACACCTATGTGCTGCTTAGCACTCCCCAGTGCCCTCGGGGACCACTGCAAACCCTTCAGCCAGGAGAACTCGAGGTGATTTCGGGAAACAACTTAGGAACCACCACCCTAGGCACATCGTGTTGGAAGCAGATGCCACCCACAGCCACATATAAGTATCTCTGTGAGTGTGTACTGCAGTGTCCAGAAGCCTGCAGGGTGTTATGGTTGAGGTAGTAGGGTAGCAGCCAGCCTAGGTGCCCTCAGGAAGACAAACTACTCCCAGGGCAAGGCAAACACTGGCCTTAGGGCAGGAACAACCCAAGTCTATGTTCACTATCTGATTTCGATTTTGTGGGCCTAAGCCATCTGAGGCTCACCCCATATTCCTACCTCTGGAGCCCAACACAAGTCACCAAGGCTGCCAGATGACCTAGCTTTACCCCAGAAGTGAGAGGACAGAGCCACAGTCACTACTGGGACAGCCTCTTCAATGCCAGTGTAAGAGTCAGGGCCGGGAATATTTGAGAGCCTCAGGAAAAGCCCATCTGCAGGTTCCGTGCTCCCTGCAATCTGAGGGTAGGCCCAGGGCTCTGGAGCTGTCAGTTTGCCATGTCCTTCCCAGCCCCAAGGGTACCTACCAGCAGGCACTGGCAGCTGAGACCAGCGACAGCAGATATGCCAGCAGCAGACAGACAGGACCTGAGGCTCGCTGAGCCAGCTCCACGAGGATGCTGGCCTCCACACCCTCTGACTGCCAGTGGCTTAGCCGCACAGGACCTTCATCAAACCGATCACTGCGGAAAAGGAACTCACTACGTGCCACCGTGTCAAAGATAGCAGCCATGCCACCAGTGCTGGCTGCAGTGGCATCTCCGGCCTGGCGGTCCGTCAGGACGGCAGGTGGGTGCAGCTGGGACAGTAACACCTTGCGCTGGTCATAGAAGATAAGCATGACCTGGTCCTCACTTGCAGCCTCAGGGACAGCAGGCACCTCCCAGTGGGTGGCCTTGCAGCTCCAGAACTTGCTACCCCTCTCCCGGCATAGCTGCAGCCAGGGTTCATGGGGGAAGACGGCACCCAGGCCCTCCAGGAAGTAGCCCAGGCTCTCCTCAGGCTCCTGCTGACAGTGGCACCACGTGCCCAGCACAGCCACACCCACCTGGCTGGCCTGCTGCACCTGAGCCAGGAACTCCTTGACCTGGATGGGGATGAAGGGAAAGTGCACCACAGCCAGGACCACAGCACTGCTCTCCTCCGGGACCCACCGTCCCACCAGCAGGCCGCTGTCCACTGAGGCACAGCACGTGGGGAAGAAGGCCTTCAGTACCATGCTGGGGACCCTGGAAGAGAGGGAGAGAAGCATGGTTCAGAGCTGTCACTACTGTCAATGCCAGACCCCAGTGGCCCAGGGTGGCTGGCAGTGCCACATCTGCAGGAAGCAGCATAGGCAGCCCTAAGGATGCACACACATGGCAACTCAGCATTGGGACCCCCTCCTTGTTCATCTCAGATGGACCATGCTCTGCCCCAGGCATACTTTACCTATCATAAGGTAGCAAATGCATACACCATGGCAGCCCGATGATTTCTCCCATTTCCAGAGAAGCTGACCACAACAGGCAGGGGTCAGACCAGAACAGGCTAGAATCACTGACCTGGTCAACATCACTTAACAAGAGTGTGTGTCAGCTCGGCACCTATAGCTCAAGCAGCTAGGGTCACATATGCTAGAGCTGGAGGGTTTGAATCCAGCCCAGGTCTGCCAAAACAACAATGACAACTACAACCAAAAAACGGTTGGGCATTGTGGCAGGCATTTGTAGTCCCAGCTACTTGGGAGATTGAGGCAAAAAAATCACTTGAGCCCAGGAGTTGGAGGTTGTCGTGAGCTGTGATGCCACCCTACCCAGGGCAACAGCTTGAGGCTCTGTCTCAAAAAAAAAAAAAAAAAAGGGAGACACCTGTGGCTCAGTAAGTAGGGTGACGGTTCCATATACCAAGAGTGGTGGTTTCAAACCCGGCCCTGGCCAAACTGCAACAACAACAAAAAAATATCCAGGCATTGTGGTGGGTGCCTGTGGTCCCAGCTACTTGGGAGACTGAGGCAAGAGAATCACCTAAGCCCAAGAGCTGGAGGTTGCTGTGAGCTGTGACACC